AGGGCATAAATTGGCCCATGACATGCAGGTAAAGCTACACTGTCATATTATTTACAATCATTTTGTTGCAAAACTAGCTAGGGATACTGTTTGAGGGTTTAATAACAAGACCCACAAAGGGGAAATGAATGGATGATAAGTAGAGAGAAAACCAGATTAGCTCAAAACTAACCCATAATAGAAAAATGAATGGCTTAGTGTACAGACATAGAACGGAGACAGAAATGCAAAATAGCTGGATACATGGAAAACATCCAGGTAACGTAGCTAGTGATAGCTATCAATGTATAAGAGATTGTTAACAACTAGATGAATGGACAACAGAAAATGTAACAGTTTGATTGTTGAATAACAAAGTGGGTGTGTGGCAGAGACATGTGAAGATAACAACAATTAGATAACTGGACAAAAGAGAGACAAACTAGAAACTCTGGATGGATGGGTGAGAGCCAGACAGAATGTCACCTAGTAGAACGATGAGTGAATAGCAAATGCACAGGAATTAAACACATGAAAGGGCATTTGGATGGACAACAGATAAATTGCTATGAGAATTCCTTGTCAAAGTGAAATACCTATATTTATTATCCTGAGGGTAAAAAATTCAAACGGAGGTGTCCCTTTTATACATATAGCCTATTCTTTCCTATATGGATGTTCTTGGACTTTCTAAAGGAATTCCATTTTAATTCCTCACTAGTACTTTCACTATGAAGAACGTTAATGTCCTGCCTAGAAGTCAGATTTCTCTGGGTGCTTGGTACAGAGCTGGGAGTGTTACTTTCTACTATTTCTTGTTTCTGTCTTTTGCTTTATTTATTGGAAAGAGGTGGCCACAGTCAATTCAGTGCCATGTCTTCCATCAACCCAAGTTCTATGCCTCAGGGCTCTCACCCTCCCCAGATAGGATTTTGGCATCAGGGTCAACCATGAAACCTCCATCTTATTTTGGGCCCTCCATTTAAATATCCCTCTCTTCTGTCTCAGCTAGATGGTTACGCTAGCTTTGTACCATTGGAGAACAACAAAGGGGAAGTAATTGGTGGCCAGGATCTGATTTAAGGTCTTACTTGTGGTGGATTAATATACCACAATGGCTACCATTAAAAATTCTGTATTGCCAGTAGTCACTAGATACTGATATCTGCAATACCCATTTATGCCTCTGTTTTAAACAGGAATCCGATGTGGTAACTGTGTAGCATCTGTTGGCAAATTACTTTTCAGTGATAACCACTGCAGGTTCCTGTCAGGCTGACTCACCTATTCATTGTTGATAATATTACTTTGAGCTTGGGAAAACGGGGACAAAACTTCAGACAAGCAGAAGCCATAAGAGAAAGAAGGACTGACACAGAATATTGTCAAGGGTCCTCAGCAGATAGAAAGAATCTTCTTTAGTCATTCAACAGAGTAGGAAGCTGCCTTCTCCAAGCCATGCTCCCATTCAGCTCTTGACCTGTAACTCACTTCCATAGACAAGAAAGCATCTCATCCAAGACATGCCAGTAGTCACTGAACAATCTGTGCACTGTTGCAGAGGAATGTTAAGCAGGCACTCAGCTATTATAAAGTCCATTCATTTATTTCCACATGCCACTCATGCGTAACATACTACTGTCCCTCCTTCTCCAGCATCCACATTATGCTGCTCAGGCATCGCTCCAGAACTGGAGCAGGGAGAAACAAAGATGCAATCTGATTGCTCAGTTTCCTCAAAGCTGGGCTATGTGGTTACACTACAAATTGACTCTCTGCCTCCATAAATGTATTTGGAAAGATATGCTGGAGAAATGGCCTTTCCAGCTAATACATGGCTTATTCCTCTTTGCTTCTCACGTCATTCTAAACTGCAAATATACCATGATCCTGGGTGGAACAACTAACAAAGTGGACCATGATTAGGGACCCCTTAGTTAACAACTGAAAAGATGTACCTGTTGTAGCCACAGCTTCAAGAGGATGGGAGCGCTGTCCTCCAATCATTCCGTACACCTTGATTTTATAGGATGTGTTAGCCTGGAGGCCATCAATCACAGTGCCTAAGGAGTCTCCAGGCATGAAGACTTCTGCGAGAGGCCCAGCTGCCAATGCCACCTCCTTGTACTCCACCACAAAACTAGTGTAGGCTCCTGAGTCCACCTTCCACGAGAGACTAAAGCCATGCGCTGTCACATTGGAGACCACAACATCCCTCAGCGTATCCTCCCCCATCCCAGAAGCCTCTGAGCTCCAAGATCCAGAGTACTCATCTGGGCCAGGAGTCGCCTCCCACTTTAGATCTAGACTACGTGTGGCTATAAAGAAATAAACAAGCAAAGGGTAGAATATGAAATACTTAATTCCTTCCTTTTTTTCAAAAGAACAAAAGTCAATGAACTGTGCACTTCATACTTATTACCGTCTAAGCAGATTTTGAAACCAGGACCTTCAGCACCAAAGCACAAACCTCTACCACATGAGCTAAAGGATCCATTCCGTTACTTGGTAGCAGTAGTTGACTGTTATCCACTAATGGGCTGGCCACTGAAGGAGATTGTGACACACACTCTTTGCCAGCGTGCTACACAATTTGCAAAGATTCTTAAGTTGTGTGTGCGTGCTTGCGTGCAAAGGGGGTGGATGTTGTTTATATTCTCAGAGGGAGATTGAAGAAAGTATGAGGGAGAACCAGCCAGACATACAACACATAAGAAAATAATGTCTTCAGCTCAACAGGAGCAATGCCTATCTTACAGGATTTCAGAAAGAGATAATTGGCAGATACAAACAAAAAAACCCTGCAAACCAAACCAAAGGCTCCCTGACCTCTGCAGGCCTGACTGAACAAACAGAAGTCAGGGAGGATTAAGGAGAAAGACTAAAATACACAACATGGGTAAAAGAAGGGAACTTTGAAAGCAAATACTCCCTGCCCTAAAGCAGGTTGCGCTCTATAAGCTGCATGTGAATCAGTTTCCTTTTTTTTTTTTCCCCAGTGCGGAGGACAAATCTCTCTTTTAATGAACGAGTGTTTCCAAGCTGCGCCCCTGGGTTCCTCCGCTGCATCCTTCCTAGAATACAAAGAGCTAGTTCGGTCCTACTCATGCTCCTGGTGCCTTCCACTTGAATCAGATACTCTCCGGTCCCTGCTGCTCAGAGCAAGCACTCCCCCGCCGCCCCATGGTGAAGCGGCGCAAAAGCCATCTCTCGCCGTAGGCAGAGTGTGAGAGCTAACAAGATTTGTTTTGCTTGGCCTGAGGACTGGAGGATCTCACACACGCTGGAACATGGACGGAATCATGAAAGCAGCAAGCCCCCAGTTCACACATCCACAAGATCTTATTTTACAGCCCCTGATTCTTATGCATTTGGGATGCATCCATCCCCAGTCAAGGGACAGATCCCAGAGATAGGTTACATCAACGAGTGCTGCTGCCTCTCTGGTGCTTCAGGAGCCTCTCGGTTTATTCACGGCCCAGAGCAAATGCTTAAAAAATTACACTGCTTTCATGCATTTTTTAAGATATCACAAGAAGATACAGAATAAGGTTTGAGGGGATTTGATTCTGATGCTAGACATGACTAGCTTGTGAAACTCCACATCAAGGTCCTTCTGATGTATGTTGTTTAAGCCTTTTCACCTTCTATGTGCATTTCTTGTGAGGGTCTGAAGATTCTTCAAAGAGAAGGGGGAGAAACAACCCTGGAAAGATCAAAGGTTTGCTCATCCCTGCAGTGTAGACCCTTGGCTTTGTTCTGTGTATCAGGGCCTGCTGAGTTTTCTCCCACTCGGCTACTGGCCTTATTTATTCATCATACAATTTACTTAATGTGGATGTTTACAGCATATGAACTCTCAGCTGTCTTGAATTATCCAACTCTGTATAGCATTTATAGGTACAGCTGGCATGAAAAATACTATGGAAAATAAAGTTGGGTTGGATTGGATTGACTGCGTGGCAGCAGAATAAGGTGCCTACTTCAATTTTCAGACTTCGCAATACCAGGCAATGTTCTCTTGTCTACAGCTGCTAATTTGTAAGATCTGAGATTTCTTGCATGGGTTTGTACTCTAGATGGAATTGAAGGAAAGAAAATGAAACTCCGAGGCCCAGATCTTCAGCTGGTGCCAACCGTTGTAACCTCACTGTTTTCAGTGTAGCTCTGCTGATTTATACCAGGTGAATGCTAGCCCACAATATTTAAACATAAAACACCCTGAAAACATATAGGAGCTGATTATCTTTTACCCTAAGGCCATAGCCTGATATAGTCCCATCTCTGGGCCCCATTTACACACTGAACAGTTCCTTACTCAACAAGAAGTCCCTCTGACTTCAGTAGAAACTCCTTGAGGAATAGGGTACTGCTCAAGGTGAATACTGGTGGACGAATGGCCTCTCTTTTATCGAGAAGTGTAGCAGTTGTGGTATCCAATGGACTCAAGGGACTGAGACTAACATTAGGACATCAGCTTTCCTCTCCTATTGAAAGAGAAAAATGGTGACAGGCAAAAGCGGAATTGTGAGGGCTCCAACCATGTTTTGATGCTTCCAGTGTCAAGAAAGGCTGCAATGAAAATTCATTAAGGTGGTGGGGGGGAATGTTAAAGGGGTGTGCTGTTAACATCTTTGTCCCCCTTCTTTGATTGCTAGAGTGCAGGGAAACAAAATAAACCATTAGACCGACACACACAAAATCGTCCAATTTAAAGCAAAGAACGAGGTTGTACATTCCCTGCTGGAGAATAAGTGTATTGTGTGGGTCACCTTAAGGGATAAGCAAGCACACAACAGAGGAGATGGAGAAAAACAAAGGGATAAGGAAAAGGCATGGCTACACCTCAGTTAGGCTTTCACACACTAGACAGAGAGAAACCAGGTTTTCACAGCCAGCTGACGTATTCAAAGCTGCTCCCCAGCAGCGTCTTGGAAAGCCGGTGACATTTTGTTTGGACCATCTCACATGCTCTTTAAGAGGATCTGACACAGTGCACCCATTCAGATGCTGTTACTTACCAGTAGACTCCTTCACCATTGTGGGTTTGCTTTTGTGCCTGCCCTTCTCTGCCACTAGGGTGATGGTATATTCTGTACCAGCCTCCAGCCCTCGCAAGAGGTAAGAGGTGCTATCTGCTGGTATCTCAATTTCATTCTTCATCCCAGAGGGGATAATGTAAGTGAGGCGGTAGCGGTCGAACTTGGCCAGTGGTCTTCTCCAGTGGAGGGAGAGGGTCGTTTCAGTGTTATCAGTGACCTCCAAGTCCTTGGGGTTATCCAGATCTGCACATTAAACCACAGAGGTTATTTATACATCAGAATTTTTTCTGTTCCTCAGGGCAGGAGCTGTGTACTGCCATGTGGGTATTCTCTCAGCTCACTGCAGAAAAAGCCATAATTACTCTTGCTGCCTTAATAGATTCACTGTATAATGATAGCCTGATTTCCCTTTCTATGTCTTTCAGACCCTATTCCTTGGTCTAAATAGTAGCAGGTGAAGTTCCGTTTATGTGCAAACCAAACTGAATCCAGATCTCCCTCACTAACATTCATTTCAACAGGGCTGCATGGAGGAGAGACAGAATCTGACCCCCTCATTTATTCATTTTTTAAAAGGCATTCAGTTTCAGCTGTAATTCCAGCACTGAGCCCGTGTGATGAAACTAGAGCACAGGTTCTCAGCCTGGCAGTCATGGGGAGAGTGGGTGCCACAGACAGGTAGCAGGGGGTTGCAATTGCACGGCCCTTCCCACAGCGGTAACGGAAAGGGGGATGCCAGTACAGAAACAGGTCTGGGTACAAAAAGGGTTGAGATCCATTGAACTAGAGCAAGTTTTTAAGAAGACCTCCAATCCCGGGGAAAAGACTCACAGGGATGGAGAATTTGCCACATCCCTCACTAAGCTGTCCCAATGGTTAATTGGACCCACTATTAACATTTTATATGTTTAGAACTGGACTATACCGTATTTTGTGGGCTTCTCTCTTTTTCCCAGCAACAACATTCACTTTTAGTGGAAGAGACCACAAGGACTGCACAATTTACCAGACTTCTACACTTGGCCCCTAACTGGGGCTCTTGAACAGCTCCAGCTTTCTTTGCTCTTTCCCCCTGGGTGGCCAAGAAAAAGGATCATCTCACCGGTTGCAGCATTCATAGTAGCGGGAGCGCTTTCTCTGTCCTGCTTCACTGCTGTCACTCCAATGCCATATTCAGTTCCAGGCCTCAGACCTACGGTGAATGTGTAGAGATGTGTCACTGTTTAGGGATGGTGCTAGATAAATAGTTTCTTGGTTTTGTTTTTAATAAGAAAACTATAGTGGCGCCGGATCTTTCCTGTTCTATGAACATTAAGAGCCAAATTTTCAGACACTCTCTGGTGGGCCTCCAATGTGGAAGAAAAACCGGTTGCATGCACAGTCAACTTGGTGATTTATTATCATCATTGCATTACCTCGAGACTTCAACCAAGATCAGGGTCCCTGTGTGCTAGGCACTGTACAAACACATAAAAAGTGACAATTCCCACCTCAAAGAGATTATGATTGAAATAAATGTAACCTGCACGAGTGTGCAGACTTCGTGTTGAATGTGAAAATCCCAACTGCCTAACTTGCAGGCAAGAGGTCAACCTGCAAGCATAAAAAAGTGCATGCTCACTTCTGCAAGCACGTGCAAAAGTGGCATGGGGAGCCGGAGCCTTGGTGTCAGATTTTTAAAGGTATTTAGGTGCCTGGAGAGTCAGATTTCAGAGTAACATCTGTGTTAGTTGGTTAGTCTCTAAGGTGCCACAATTACTCCTTTTTTTTTTTGAGATTCAGAGAGGCACCTAGAGAGATTTCAAAGTTACCCAAAATCAACTGCCAGTGATTTCAAAATTGATTTGAAAATTCCACTAGGTGCCTATCCGCATCTTTAAATACCTTTAAAAATCTGGCCCTCAGGCTGACAATGTGGCTCCTGACAGGAACAAAGACACAATGTACCCAAGTTGGTAAAAAATGAGAGTCTCCTGGTATGTAAATCATCTTCAAAGTCTTTTACATCCTGAATATCTTCTCTACCATAAAAGATTCAAATACACTTATTATCCCAATCTGCATGGATTTTGGTGTGGTTTTAAAGTCTCTTTCATATATTCACATTTCTCTTCTCATCTCTCCAATATGACTCTTTATAGTGCTACATTTTTGTAAATTCTTTGTAATCCATTCAGAAGATACAGTCCTTTACACTAAGTGGGTCTCCTGTTCCTCTGTTGTGCAGATATAATTCTTAGAGTTGGGGAAAGTTCCATTCATAGCAAAGGAAGATCAGATCTCTCTAGATAGCTTATGAGACCCTAATGAAAACAATGCTCTTATTGAATATTGATGCAATTATGTTGTGATTATATAAATATTATGGTGGGCTGAGGCACCAGCTGGAGACATAAAATAAAGCCCAAACTCTGGTTCAATTCAAGATCCCTTTATTCATGGCTAGTTTTATTAACCTAAGATTTCAAAACAGTCAACAGCTGTGAGGGGAGAGGACAAGGCATTATCCATGCAGTAGATTCCTCTTTGTTTTTAGAGACCTGCCCCAGATCAGCCATGTGGCAAGCAGGTACCCGGTTTCTATTTGTAACCCGTTACATGCCTTTACACCTTGCCACAGTGCATCGTGATGATAGGAGGTCAGATCTCCAGATGGTTACTGGTGCCAGTTACATTAACAACAATCTCACTTTGATCCTACCTGTGAGTGTAGCCTTGGTCGTGACCTGGTTACTCCTTGGCACAGTTATTTCAGCATGGTCTCCACCTGAGATGGGAGCAAACTTGATTCTGTAGTTATCGATGCTGGCTTGGCTGTTCTTCCACTCCAAGGTGATACTGTTGTCTGTCTGAGACAGGCGCTTCAGGTTCTTCGGTGCATCCAAGTCTGAGGAGGGAAAAAAGGTTTTCTCTCTCAGGACAGAAGGAAAGAATGATTCATACGCCTGGCATATGGTACCATCTACAAGATAAGATCAATTTTCCCACAGAAGTTGCCACTTCAAGGAAAGCAGACACTTTCTGTGAAATTTTTTCATTTTGTTTAATCGAAAACCCAATTTTCCATCACATTAAAGGTGTGACGGGAAATGGTTGACCAGCCCTGGAATTCAGTATTCAGAAGATACACTCCAACCCTGGCCTAAAGGAGTCTCATCTCTTGGAGTGAAATAGGGATTTTATCTAAAAATTCCATGAGCTGTCATAATTCACTCCCATAACGGACTCAAATCCTGCTTTGGTGAAACAACTCCACCCTGGGGCAAAAGAAGATTTCATTCTCCTTGTTCCATTTATTCCCCAGCATTGTCATATGGCTCCATTAACAGATCCAAACCATGACTGCATGCTAAAATGCACACCTTTTACCAAAGCATTCCCAGCATAACCAAAGGTGAAACTGAATTAAAAATCAAAGCAGGCAGAGATTCCCAGGACCCAGGAAGGGGAAAAAAAAAGAGTTCTCTTCTAATCCACAATGGATGTAGGCAGAATAATGCATCTGTTCAGAACTAGGCACTGTGGTAATGGCGGTTATAGGAAAACTTTAGATCAGTAAACACACAGGCAGGCAGATAAGGTAGGAGGAACACTGTTTGGTGGTGGTGATGGTGCGGGAAACGGGAGATTCAAGGTAAAGGTATCTAAAGGTCCTAAAGAATCTGGGAACCTAATTTCAATTTTCAAAAGAGATGCAGGCACTTAGGAGCCTAAGTCTCTTGGAAAAGCAATGGGAGCTAGGTTCCTAAGTCACTTTTGAAAAGTTTACTCGACTTCCATAAACCTCTATGACTGGTACAGTGCTGTGCTGGCATAACAACTGTGAAGTGAAGCAACATGCTACAGCTAATTCGCATGGATGTGTTGATGGTGATTGGAATAGAGCAGAAGACAAGAAGCTATGACCATTTCTGAACAAGCTCTTTACCTGTGACAAAGATTTCCTTCACAGGGTCGCTGGCCATGTCCCCACGCCGAGAGATCAGCGTCACCTCATACTCTGTGTGTGGCTTCAGATTCCCAATGGAGTACTGGCTTTCATCCTCAAAGAGGTCGATGGTCGTCCTGTCCCTTGGAACATCCTTTGGTCCGTAGGTGAGTTCCATGTCATCAATTTCAGCCAAAGGTTTGAACCATGTGATTAAAGCTGTGGTGTCTGTCACATCTCTTGCCTCAATCTGGCTTGGGCCATCAAGCTCTGTTAAGGAAAGAGGAAAAACATGAATTTTCTGATCCCATCATAGAGAGATCAAACACAGTCTGTACATTGACCCTTAATAGTTGAATCAAAGCAAAGTTCAAATACGTGGCTCCTATTAGCTGAAACTCATCTTCATGTCGACTTCCTTATGGCCCTTAACATTCTACCGATGCAGATGGAAAGTGCTGTGTTACACAGGAAGGAAAAGGGACGTATACTGAGCCGGTCCTGCACCGGCACAGCAAGGATAAGCAGCAGTCCAAGCAAGTTCTTCAGCTGCACGAGGACTCCTGCTGGTGCCAAATAGTTTCCATGTGGTGGGTTAAGGATGCAGAGCCTGTTTCACTTTGTTGCACTCTCTGAATGGGAATAAAATGTATGCTGGCCCACGGCCAGCTGGAAGAAACATCTCCTTTCCTCCCCAGACAGGTAACCCACTCATTCCTTGTGTCAGCTACTTCAGTTCTTCCCGACTATGTGTTTTCAAAAGCAGAAACTTTTGAAAGTGTGGCTTGGTTTGCCTCTAGTTTAGCATCTCCACAGAGTACACCAAATAACAGAATAGTACTTACTTGTGGTAAACACTCTAAACAACCCAGGTCCTCTGGTTTTGTTTTTCACTACATGCAGGGACACGTTATACTGTTGTCCTGGTGCCAGACCTGGCTGCATATATGATGTGTCTGGTCTCTTCAAACTGTTGGTTATGTCCCCATTATCTTCCTTTTTCTGTAACACACAAGGCACTTGGTTAAAATTCAAGTTGGACTAACTGCTTTTTTATTCATCCAAACTCTAACGTTTCCTGAAGACAAACTGATTTTAATGAAGTTTTTGATGGGAAGGTTTCCGAGGTCCATGGAGGGACTCTCCGGTCATTTCCAGGGAGACAGCACTGAATCCAAAAACAGACCTTTTGGAACAATTCCATTTTGTGGAAACATTGGAAAAGTTTGGTTTTCATTCCAATGAGGAACAAAAACGAATTTTAAACCCTCAAAAGTTATTGTGAAATAAAATGGGCATTCTCTGGCCAGCTCTAGTTTGAATGCAGCATAAAAGGAGCCCAACACTCTGCACTTGTACACGGAGGCATCACGGGATGAGCTTTTTCCTTACCATATTTCGGAAGACGAGCTCCCAGCCATCAAATGAAATGTTCAGAGGATCCCACTCCACCTGCACAGATGTCTCCCTGATGGATTTGAATGTCAGACCTTCAGGAGCAGGCAGATCTATGAGGAGAAACAGCAAGAGGGTAGCTACATGGATCATAGTGTTCCCACAGATCAGAAAACTAGGTCTTCACAAACGAGTACCGTGATGAAAATCACTGGGGATGTTTTGAGATCCTCCAAGATGCTTACATGGTACTGTGACGGGTGCTATAGATAGATAGATAGGCAACTAGTACAATGAACAAACACACGGTGGACAGATAGCAAAGGTGGGTTCTGTAGACGGATGGATGACTTTTTTTCTGTCCCCAAAGATGCCAGAGTTAATTTGGGACCCAAACGATAGGAAAATCTATCCACCATCCTGACTCCTCCCTCCCACTTCTCCAGCCACAAGGGCTTTTTAATCATCCTTGATTTCCAGACCCACCCCGCCAAAATGTCCGTCACACCCACAGATATGTTGGTGCCTTTTAAGAGACATGCATAGCTATGTACTTGCCAGTTTAGCAGTTCTGTGGTACACTGCAGCACTACATGTTAAAGCAGAGATCAGACTTTAGCCCCTTCTACTTACAGGTGATAGTTCCCTTCCGTAGAACCTTTCCAAGCACAGTAGCATGCAATTAGCACATGCATGCAATAAGTTAAATATATTATATATACCCACAATGCCTTTGCTTTCTCAAGTGGGCCAATTGGAAATATATGAGCATATTTGGGTGGCAAGACTGAAACATGAGGATAATGAAGAGTGAATGCACTTATTTAATCTGGCTTTGATGGTGCACATTACTCTTAAAAATAAAGCATAATATTCTACAGCAACAGCTTATAATAGTGTTATTATAGGGCTAGAGGGCCACGGGTATAGAATAGTATGGTACGGCATGGCATGCCTTACAAGAGGCTGAACCTTGCAGTAGTGAAAGGCATTGAGATATCATAGAGAAAGGTGAGACAGATGTGCAATGAAAGTGATTTGTACTTGGAAGCATTGAAAATCCAATTACAATAGTACTGAGCCAAATGCTTTTACGTGAATGCATGAAAACGATTTTACAGGTGGAGTCCCAAAGCCTTAAACTGTAGCCTGTCATGACAGTAGACAGAGTTTTGGTTTACAGGAACCCAATGATATTCAATGGAAGGCTTCATGCAGAGCAGGAAAGTTCCAGTACTGTAATTCTATCGTTTTGAAGGCATACCATTGCAAGAAGAGATTGGAAAAGAAAACTGAGGAGACTCTGGCTTGGTCCAGACTTCAAGTGGAATACAAAAGAGAAAGAACAATAAAAAAAGAAAAGTCCCAAAGAAAAGAAAAGAGACAAGTAAATGTATATTAGGGAGCAGAGAGATGGTCAAATATAGAGATTTGTATTTATTTTAAACTCACAGGTTGCCACCCTGGCACTGATTGGAATACTCTTCTTGTTCTTTAGGATGGCAAACACACGGATAAAGTATTCCACACCAGGCTCCAGTTCACGGATGGTAGCAGATGTCTTGTTTCCAGGCACCCTGAACTGCAGTTCTAGGCCACCAACACTGGTAGGAACATAGGTGATGAGATACTCATTGACTAGATTCTCATTCTTCCATTCCAGATTGACCGTCTGATCTGTCACATCTGTCACTGTCAAGTCGCTTGGAGAGGACACTGCCAGGGGGAGAAAAAAAAATCAATGGAGACATTAAGACAGTGGGCCAATTTCTGCTGTCACACCCATATGCAACTCCTGTTCATAGTAATACACGCCCCCCTCTAATGGCTGATGCACAGAGGTTTATAAGGCCACCAGAGCTGCCTGTTAGGGGACTTAGTGACTTATCTGAAGTGCTAATGGCCCATGAGTTTAGCTGAAGATCCTGGGTTCAAATCCTATTGTCAGCTTGGGTGAGGCCAGCTATCTGGAATTACTTCAACAATTTCAGAAGAATTATTCCAGATTTTCATGGGTGGGAGATCAAACTAAGACTCAGGATTCTTCTGCTGGGAGGAAACTGGAGGAGATAAAGAATTGGAAATGTCACCACAGGGACAGCAAAAGGAACACAGCAGGGTTTCATAGCCCAAGAGTTACAACTCCTATTGGAAAAACAATGAGGAGGCCTTGTGGCACCTGAGAGACTAACAAATTTATTTGGACATAAGCTTTCGTGGGCTAAAACCCACTTCATCAGATTCATGGAGTGGAAAATACGTGGGTTTTAGCCCAGGAAAGCTTATGCCCAAATAAATTTATTAGTCTCTAAGGTGCCACAAGGACTCCTCTTTGTTTTTGCTGATACAGACTAACACGGCTGCCCCTCTGAAACTCCTACAGGAGTGACTGCAAGTTGTCTTAAGGGCCATAGGTTGTGCTAACAGCAAATGACAAAACTCCCAGTGCTGACTCGGCTTTGCTGACCAGCAAGTCAGAGGGGATGGGAGCCAAGACTGTCCATTCCACAGGTTGATTTACTCCCAAGGAGCAGTCAACCAACTGAGCTCCTTGGTCTCTCCTTGCATGGTGCCACAGCGTGGCACGCACTCTGTTCTGTACACCTGAAACAGTTGCTATGCTGCAGATGCAAACCCCCCACTTTCCCAGTTCAGCATGAACAAGAGGTATCAGACATAGGAAACTTATCTTTAATCTGCAACCTGGCTATCAGAAATATACAGAATGCAGGCTGTCAACCTTTGAAGTCTTTAGCCTATACTCCAGTATTCCTGGAGGGCCACAAGTCTTATTTTTGAGTCAAAGCTCCCTCTACACTTTAAAAAGCTACTTCCCTTAGCAAATCCAGCTGACTCCCTAGTTCTAGGACTCTTTGCTTTCCCCTTGGCTGAGCAGATGTATTTTAGCTACAACCAGTGCAGAAGAATACAACAGAAGAAGTGTCATGGGAAAGTAAAAGTGCAGGAGGCCATATTGCCAGCTACTTGTAAATCGCTGCATAGCCACTGAAGTCCATGGGAATTGTACAGATTTATACCAGGTGAGAAACATAGCTACAGTGTTAGCCTCACTAGCCTCTTGGTCATCAAACTATTAGACCCAAGAAGAGTAGAGATAACAAGAATTCTGGTCACCTTGGCCAAATGCTGCCTTAACCCCAGTGACTTCACTGGGGTCATTCCTGGTTTATACCATCGTAAACAAGATCCGAATCAGACCCCGGCTTTCTAAAAAATACCCTTAAATCTCCATTCGCTGATGGACAAATAGAGGGTAATTTAAGGGTGGTTGGCTGGCTGAGACCAACACTAAAACCTACCATTGGAGCAGTCATCCCCTTCGTATCCGTCATCACAAATGCATTGCCCATCAACGCAGCGGCCCATGTCATTGCAGTTGTTGGGGCAGGATCGCTCACCGCAGTCCACTCCTCGAAAGCCCTCGTCGCACTGGCATAGCCCGTTGACGCAGAGCCCCCGGTTGTTGCAGTCACTGGGACACCGCTGTTGGCTACAGTCGATCTCAGTGAACCCATTGTCACACTGGCACAGCCCGTTGACGCAGAGCCCCCGGTTGTTGCAGTCATTGGGGCACCTCAGCTCAGCACAGTCCTCCCCCATGTACCCCTCGTCGCACACGCACTGCCCATTGACGCAGCGCCCGTGCTCATTACAGTCGTTGGGACACCTCAGCTCTCCGCAGTCCTCGCCCACGAAGCCTTCTTCACACACACACTGCCCGTTGACGCAGAGCCCCCGGTTGTTACAGTCGTTGAGGCACCTCAGCTCTCCGCAGTCCTCGCCCACGAAGCCCTCTTCACACACACACTGCCCGTTGACGCAGCGCCCCCGGTTGTTACAGTCATTGGGGCACTTCAGCTGGCTGCAATGCTCGCCTGTGAAGCCCTCGTCACACTCACACTGCCCATTGACACAGCGGCCCCGGTTGCTACAGTCGCTAGGACACCGCAACTCACTGCAGTCTTCGCCCATGAAGCCCTCCTGGCACACACACTGCCCGTTGACGCAGCGGCCCCGGTTGTTACAATCTTTGGGGCACTTCACTTGGCCACAGGCGGCGCCAGCAAAGCCCTCGTTGCACACGCACTTCCCGTTGACGCAGCGCCCCCGCTTGTTGCAGTCCTTGGGGCACCGCCGCTCGCTACAGTCGTCGCCCACAAAGTCCTCATTGCAGATGCACAGCCCATTACTGCAGCGGCCATTGTTGTTGCAGTTGTTGGGGCAGGTAAGCTCCCCACAGTCCTCCCCGGTGAAGCCCTCCTCACAGTAGCAGGTCCCGTTGACACAGCGGCCACGGTCGTAGCAGTCATTGGGGCAGATAAGCTCGCCGCAGTCTTCACCTGTGTAGCCTTCGTCGCACACACACTCTTTCTCCACACAGCGCCCACGGTTATTGCAGTTGTTCAGGCAGAGCGGCTCACTGCAGTCCTCACCGGTGAAGCCTTCATCACACACACACCGACCGTTCACACACTTTCCATGCTCCCTGCATGCCACCGGGCAAAGCTCTTCACTGCAGTCCTCACCGGTGTACTCCTCAAAGCACAGACAGACACCATTGATGCATTTGCCTTGGTCACTGCAGTCATTGGGGCAGGTGAGCTGGCTGCAGTCCTCCCCAGTGAAGCCCTCAACACAGATACATTTTCCATTGACACAGTGGCCTTTGTTGTTGCAATTGTTCGGGCATTCTGGTTCTGAGCAGTTGGGTCCTTTCCAGCCAGGTTCACAAATGCAGCCACAGTGCTCAGTGCTGTAGTTCCCTCGTCCACTGCAATACGGCGTGGTGTCCACTTGTCCTGTATCAATGAATCAGAAAACTCATTACACCTAACAGATTGTGGTGTGCGTCACAGAAGTTAGACACACAAGATTGTTACTAAGACCACTCTGGTACTGCTCGTAGGGCACGGGTCAGGGTTACAAAATTTTATAATCTTGTATAAAATGGCAGGGGTAAGCATCCACTGAACCCAAGGACAACTGTTACCTCTTCTCTTAAAAAATGGTAATGGTGGCAGTAGTGGGATGATGCCAATGTGGACAGTGAGCTTGGATTCGTGGCCTGCTCACACAAATATCACATAGTGATTAAGGGATGGGTGAATCTCAAAAAATTTGGCGTGGATAAATATCCAAAAGTTTTGTGTAAGATTAAACCCTTCAGGTTTGGGTTGTGCCAAATATACTCTGAAAATGGCTTCTCACACTTCATTCTGCTGCTCTGACAGCCCCGACCAAACCCAACAAGAGCAGAGGTATGTTGAAATTTAAAAAAAGAGATAATGGTAAGAATTTTAAAATGTATTATTTATTATTAATCATGTTTATTACAGTAATACCTAACGGCCAGCCAAGAATGGGGACACATTGTGCTAGGTGCTGTACAAACACACTGGCTGTGCTGCCTTGGGCATATATAGTCTCAGGGACTCATTTACCCCATCTGTAACATGGGGATAAGATGGAGTGGGGAGGCAGTGAAGAGGAATTAGAGTCTGTGCAGCACTTTGAAGTCGACAGGCACGACCCGCTGATGGATTTCTGGCCAGGCCAGTGGATAATACTTTCTGTCCTTACAAAATGATAATCATAAGAATATAGGGCCTGATTCTCAGCTGCTGTTATAAAGCATGGCTTTGTTGAAAGCTCAGATGCACAAAGGTACTTGGGCACCTAAGCCCCAGTTTTGGCTGCGCTGCGATCCACAAAACTCCCACCAAACCCTAATCCAGACACCTACGTGTTCAGGATAAGAGCTCCCAAAGTGCCCATGTTTCAGCCTCTGGCCTCACCTGCTGCTATCTCCCTCTAGGCCTGTGGCTGCTTATCTGCAGCCTAAGCCCCATAGGGATCCATGAACCGGGTGATTCATGAACCAAAGGGATTCATGAACAACAGTTGTCTGGCTATGGCCTGTGGATAAATCCAAGTCTTGCAAATGTATCTTAACATTTCACAAGCTGGTCAAAAATATTTCCAATTTTGATGGCACTTCAGAATGAATGGGGTTCATTTTCCCCGTTTTTTCAACAAGCTCTCATATTTATTCGCAGCCAGGAGCCAGACTGCTACGCAGCAGCTTCGCCCACCCGCCTTACCCTCTGCTGTTAGGCTGCTGTGGCAGCAGCCAGCGCTGCTGGAGCACTGATCTCGTAGAGAGGATACCAGCCCCTCCAGCTCTTCCAGTCTGCTCAGCAGATCCTTGATGTCAGGGGCAGCTGCACAGCCACAAGCCCGGCGGGGGATGTTGATGCGGTGTGTGAAGACAATCTGGTTCCCCTCGTTCACCGTGTGCTCCTGGTAGGTCTTGCTTGGCTCAACCTGGGGCTTCAGGTCTGCGTCCTCATTAGCTGAGTCCAAGTCCACAGAGCAGAGGGAGCCCATGGGTACATTAATGTTGTAGACGTGGTTAAAGACCACAGACTGGTTATCCTCCGGCAAGGTCACGTTTAACCCGGTCTCCCGCTTCTGCCGGATAATTCTCTTGATGAGCCCACCGTTGACATGGTGGTGTAGCAAAGCTATGATGGCACAGGTCAAAACCTGCAAGGGAAGCCCCATGGTGATATTCGGCTCCTTTGGGACACTGCTGGTTCCTCAATGCCGTTTTGCTTTCTCAGTCCGGAGAAGAATTTGGAGAGCCAGCTCCAAACAAAATTCTATTTCTCTTCTCTTCCTGCTGTGCTTTCCCCCTATAACAGCAATGAAAGTTGCACAGAATGAGTTACCACTGCACCTCCCAATTAAAGACCCACAATACTGAAAGCCGGGAGGCCTGATAAAGAGTTCAGATGCACCACCGCTGACATCAAGAGCCAGTCAGCTTCAAGTCACTGAGCCTGCATTTAAACACCACCACAATCCATCCCCTTCCATCCAAGACCCTGGTGCACTTGCAAATGAGTCCCCATTTTACAAGTGAACATACCGAGCCACAGAGAGTTTAAGTGATTCACAGGGCCAAGAACGGAAACCAAGACTGCTGACAAAAATTCTACCCACCGGTGCACACATGTAAATTCCATTGCTGACAATGGGCACTGTCCATGTGCACTCGAGGTAAGAATCCGGCCCCCTGAAAGAAGTATTGTGAGCAGTAAGTTTGGGGGCTATTACTGAAGGATACTCTGTTTTTATAAGGGTAAGAAGCAGAACTAGTCAAAACACAAAAATCAAGATAAAAGAAAAGGAGGACTTGTGGCACCTTAGAGACTAACCAATTTATTTGAGCATAAGCTTTCGTGAGCTACAGCTCACTTGAGCTGTAGCTCACGAAAGCTTATGCTCAAATAAATTGGTTAGTCTCTAAGGTGTCACAAGTACTCCTTTTCTTTTTGTGCATACAGACTAACACGGCTGTTACTCTGAAAAAAATCAAGATGATTTCCTTTAAAAACAAATGGAAATTCTACATTTTGATGTCATTCTAGTAAGAAACTAAGAATCCCTCCCTCCTCTCACCCAACAACCAAGCGGTCTCAGCCTAACAAGCATCAGGCCATTTGAGACCTAAATCATGTGTCATCTAGCACGTCACAGCCACTAAGCCCATTTCAACTGTTTCCTTTTATTTACAATTGACTTGGGGGGTAGAAAGGGGATCAATGTCAAGACTTAATGTGTTTCTTATATAGACCCCCGCAAAGGAATTGGTTTATGGCAGTGAAGTAAATGTGTTCTCAGACGAAGAGTCAAGCTTATGGACTTTGATATCTTCTTCACAGCCACACTGATTTACATCTGCTAAGGATCCAGGCCATCGTATATACTGGGAGAAACAGATATTAGTTCAAGTGTAGCAGGTATCTTGCACTGTGCTGAGCTACATCAATCTCTCGGAAGGGTAGGAGACCAGACAGGTGTGTGGGGGAATAACTGGGAAAAGAAAAGAAAAGAAAAGAAAACCCCTTTGATATACCTGAGCCCTTCAAGAGAAAGAGAAAGCTTCACATTGACACAGGTGTGAACAGGTCTTTTCAGCAACAGGTGACTCCTTTCACCAGGCACCATTTTCCAATATCTGATCTTTCATCAGCTATCCATAAAGTACCTACTTTTAGCCACGGCCACCTGGCTGGGCCAGAACAGCCCTTCCTGCATGTCATTCTTTTTTAATTCGGGAGGGGAAAAAAAAAGATGTTGAGGTGAATTTCAAGTGGGCTGAACTGGAGAGCAGATAAAAAAAAAATAACCGCCCCCTTTCCCCCAATCTTCGTCCATTCACAATTAGCCCTTCTTCTCTCAGACCAACATACTCAAAGAGCCTGCTCGGCAGGCTATCCAATCACTCCCTAATAAATACCTTAATTTTTGTGTTGCTTTCCACTCCCAGAAAAGTCTTGTTAAATGGATAGATCAGTTGTTGGCCCATGACTGGATGTGGCCTCTCTTTCTTTGTGTTGGTAATTCCCCAAACAGCAATAAAGACTCTGATACCCAAGGCTCTGATGGCAATAGATATCAGCTGGGTAACCAGCTTCCATGGCCCTTTGCCTCCCATGAAGTGTAGAGATCAATTTTGTTTCCCCATGCAATTCCGCTGGCTTTTACAACAGGAATACCCCAAGAATACCCCAGCCTCCTTTATCCAGGTCCATTTTCTGCATAGACAAAGCAGGGCTCCCAAAGAGTGAACTTTATATCTTTTTTATTAGGAAATAAATCAGAACCATACAATGTGCAACTGCATCTTGTTCTCTGTCTAGGAGACCATTCAGCTTTGAATCATTCTCCAGCACTTTCCCTGTTTGTTCAAAAGTGTTTGAACCCAGCTTCTGTGCTGGAAAAAGTCACCAGGTAAATAATAATAGAGGTGGTCCTGAGCCAGACACTCCCAATGGTTGGTGAAGTTCAGATCTAGATCTACATCTCAATTTGTGACCTAGGCCCATCTGTAAATGGGGCTCTGAGTCATGCAAGTATCCCTACTCAGGATAGTACTTAAAAACAGGCTTACTTCATACTTGTCCTTGAATTCCAGTGAAGTCAGGATTTATGTAGGTGCTTAAGGCCTTTCCTGATTTACATGGCAGTTTCCACTTGAGGATCTCAAAGTGTCTTACAAATGATGAAGCGGAGATCCCAGGTACGCTATGTATTTTACCCCGAGACCCCAATTGTCTCACAAGTTATCTGTAGGTGTTTACAGTTTCTTGCGAGATGTCTGTGTCAGATGTTAGCCATGTCTTGCTCAGTGTATAAGCAAAATTATTGTCCAAATTGACAACAAGATACTGACAGACAAAAATCTAGCTACATTTAGGAACTAGTTGGTGAAAGGATCAACAACAGACTGAAGGCTGGGATATAGAAAGGGGTCTTAGGCATATTGATCTACTGTCTTTCCTGATGTCTTCTGACTAACCTTCAGCTCGCTAGAAAGAAGATGACATTATAGGGATATATTGACCTGTGTGTATTAGTTTGGAACACGCAGGGAGGCAAGTAGGTGGACATAAGTAACTGGGTTATTAAGCTTGCTGTGATTAGACCTAAAATCCAACCTTTAGTATAATTCCTCCCACAAGGCCTCAAACTAATATAACAGGCACCTAATCATAGCAAATAGCCCAGTTCCTTATGTTCCTCTACTTGCTCCCATCCATGTTCCAAACTAGGAAACAATACTCACCGGTCAATATTATACCCCTATAATGTCATCCTAATTCTCGTGAGTTTAAGGCTAGGCAGAAGACATCTGGAAAGTTAGGCATCCAGCTCCTAACAGATTTCAAAAGGTTTGAGCACCTAACTCCCTTAGGCCTCTTGCAAAATCCCAGCCTAAAGGGATATGGATGCAGTCCAATGCCCATTGACCGCAATGGGAGTTGAATATGGCTCTGTGACTGTATTAATTGTGTCTTTGGAATGTGGCTGGAAACTGAAAAACCTGTTTTCTCAGTGGGCCACTGTCACTCCACTGTTGAAGAGTCACAAGATCATATGCAGATTTATTGTAGGTGCGCCAGACCGAATCAATTAAGCCTCCCAGCTGGAGGATGACTCTGGAAGACTTCATCCCTACTGACATCTTTTTGATATTCTTCAGGGGTGGTCTGGAAGAAGCACTCCACGCTGCCTGAGTCATGGTCGTTGTGCTTTGATGCAGAGCGCAGGATTCCAGTGTATCTTGGCTGATTCAGATCAGGTGTTTCTTGTCTGATCTGACAAGGATCCGGCTTGGGGAGCCGAGTTCCCCACTTGGATCTGAGATCTTTCCTAATCTACCAGGCAATTTCCACACAGTACTTTATAAATTATCTATTCTTTGGCTGGAACAACAAAGGCAACACTCCTTCCTGCAACTCCCACCCTTCAAGCATGTTTACCCAACAGTTCTGGCCACTAGTGACCACCCAGGAACAGGCATTTAAAAAGGGAAAGATGTAAGCCAAGCAACCTGCAGCATTTGCTCTTTATTTTCCTCCCTCAACCCCCCTCTGTGATGTTTCTTGTTGCTATGCAAGTCAGCATCCAAAAGTTAGACATATAATCCAATGTAAATATCTCCTAAATATTTCTCACTATAGACCTCAAGGGTTGAGATATTTTAATGTACGGCAGGTTATAAAGCTTGAAAGAGTTTGCAAAAGAGGGCCCAGATGCAACAGCCCTTATTCACCAAGTGCTCAATCCTGTCCTAATGCCAACAAAAAAAACTCGACAATGATTAGGTACCTGATGGGTTGACCCCCACAGCCCATCATGCTGACTAATACTGTTTCATTGTTTCTTTATGCTCCCTCATCTGTCTTTCTGTCTCCACTTGCTGTCTCTGCTTGGGTATGTCTACTCGAGCTGCAGTCACACATTGTGATTGCAGCGTAGCCATACCCTGAATCTTATGAGTACAGGTTAGCAATCAAGCCCTTGATCGGTAACCTTTAGCAGAACCATCTGTCATAAATATTCTAAGTGTATTATTTTTGTCACTCGTTACCTTAGCTCTAGACACAGTACATCTGAAAAAAACAACCACCAGGAATGCAGTTTGCATTTTTACATGTTTTTATTCAAGATAATAATTAGGCTTCTTAGCTAAAATGTAATGAAATAGGACAAACATTTTGTTTCTGATTGGGAAAATAATCCCATCTGGATTGCAGGGTTATTTTTTCTTTTCCCTTTCTTCCCATTCTTCACTAGTCCGTATACTTTGCTGCAGACTTCATCCAGCTAACATATAGTAGAATCATGAAAAATAGCCACCACAATACAAAATGCATTATAGGCATAATTCTCTTTTGTGGTCTACACTGTGGGCTAGACTAATGCCTAGTCTACACTTGTTTTGCATACAGAAATCCCATTGATGTAATTTAGGATTTCTGCATGGAACAAATGTGATGTGTAAGGACCAGGATTTTGGCCTAAAGCAATTGGTGGGGAGGGGAAAAGGGAAGAAAAATATATGGCATAGGAAATACAAGGCAGAATATTTTCTAACAAGACCATCTTCTTAGAGATGAGCTCTTTAGGGTTAGGTATGAATAAACCTGAGCCAGTATCTTAGCCTCTGGTTAGGTTGGATATACCAGTCTAGAGATCTTGGAGTAGCTTGACAAACAGGCATCGGCTTATAGCACCCAGCCTGAGTCAAAGACTAATGTCAGATAAACACACACTGGGCCTGATTCTCCTCTGACACGATTTTCACAGTAGTATTACTGCACTGACTTCAGTGCTCAGTCCA